AATACGGATATCTTACAATTACAGACTATTATACCCACGCAAAGCTGTAATAACAGCAATCTGAGATTGTATAAGGCTACCTACTTCTCAGCCGTCAAACATCATACTTATTTTGACATTAATAGGTAAAGTCTAATCGACTGCAGATCAAAAGGTGATTGATTACTTATTTACTTATTTGCGATAGTGCAAGTTCATGACTTTACAACTGAGAGTCAAGATCTACGGATAACAGCATACAACAAGTGGGTCACTGTGAACAGGAATTACGTTTATTGCATATTTTACTCATTTATGATTCGTAAAGTATTTAATAAGCAGAAATAAACTTAGGATAGCATTAGATTTAGGTACCTACATATGTTATGCTTTTGCTAGGTTTTGATAACATACGAAGTAATATTCCAGAAGCCATTCTTTGTTCCTTAAGGTCAGATAAAATGAAATCTATATAAGATATAATTACAATCATTTTCAGTGTAAATAATACAAATCTATTTTTAACCGACTTCAATATCCAAAAGGAGGATGTTATTTATTGATTTCTTATATAAATTCACGCGCACAATTCATAAATGAAACAAATTTTAAAAAGTTTCAATCGCGTTTGTATTTAGTTTTATTGACGTTTCGTGCCCTTTACAGGTTCCGTGTTCACATAAGACTGAAGTGGTATAGCTTTATTTAATAGCTCTAAGTATAGTAAAAATAAAAATCAAACCAGAAACTGGCCGTAAGTCGCTTTTAAGATAAGTTTTTTTTTTTTAAGTTTGAAGTTGGTTCTATTTTTTTATCTAAGTTTTTATTTCATGCTTTTATAAGGTTCACTTTGGTGTGCAAAAAATCTTAGGTACTGTAGGTATACCTTCACATAGGATAAGTTTTCATCATAGCACAATTTGTTTTTAATTATTTAGAACCACGTGGATCATTGTTATAAATTAAGAAAGTATTATACAACCATTTTGACGTGTACACATTATAAGAAAAGATAACAATAAAATAAATAATAAAAATGGCAAAAGACTAAACTCTTATCTACAGAGGCTGCCAAATGCTGCCAGTGTCACCTTCAAGTTTCATATTTTTGATATTGCTATATTTGCCTAGTGGTGTAAACTTATTTCCGACGAGGTGCACTGTAGTTTTTAGGGTTCAGTAGTCAAATGTTAAAAAGGAACTCTATTACAAAAACTCCGCTGTCCGTATATCAGTCACCAGGCTATATCTAATAAACAATGTTACCAAAGTCAAAGTCAAAATAATCTTTATTCAAATAGACTTCCTAAAAGTACTTTTGAATCGTCCAACATTTTTTCCCTACCACTCGTTCAGGACGTCTTTTGGCTGATAAGAAGAACGAGCAAGAAACTCACCAGCTCTAATAAGAGTAATGACATTTACAAAAACCATGTCATTACCAGATCAATACATTATAAATAGAGATAGAAAAAAAAAACTATGGTGTTATAATGATAACATAATCATTTAATAATAATGGAAACAAGATAATGAGTTAAGAAGTAATCACCTATCCAGTTGCTGGATCATCTCAAGTCCAAGCGTTCTTATCTGTTATATAATCGGATACCTTATAATAAGCTTTTTTAATATACGATATAATATAATATAATTGCTAGGTTGAAATTTTCACTATAATTATTTAAGGTGCACAATGCAACAAACGTGTTTCTTTTTCGCATTTTTTTATAGATGCTAGTTTGGAACCCTTAGCACGCGAGTAAGATTCGCGCTTGGTTCGTTTTTAGAAAATCTATGTCGGGAAGAGCGAGTTACGTTAAACTCACGGAAGGGTTACGATTCCTGACATAATTTTGTGTTTTACCATTAGAAACGTTTTACCTATAATAAAAAACCTATAAGTAGATCTTACGAGGTGACATCATAAAAAAAAAAATCATAATTAACATTATTAGTAAAGAATGTGTGCTCACTCTTCAGCGGATACGCTATGGTTCACATGCCAATGTCAAATTAGAATGGTAATAAGTGAGAACTTACAATGTTCACAAAATATAAGATTTTACATAATAAAATTGCTCTATTAGCATTAAATATACTTGTAGTATTTAAATTAGCTTTAAGCTCACTTTGTTACATAAAATCATAAACACATCATGAAATTCTAGCGGAGACGGGTACCAGACGGAATATGAGACGGAATGAGAGTGAGAGAGAGTCCAGCCAGCTGCACGAATGTCTATTAAAATTGTCGTAGGTAGTTTTAAAGGTAGTTGTAAAATTTAAGAAGACAATTTTTTTTCTTCTTTTTCGAGCGTTTAAATAACATCTCTTTTTAAAGTTTTTTTTTGCTTTTTTTTACGTTTTAGTATCGCTTTCTCAGTCTGTTCATTTCATTCAACCCATCATTGTTGCAATTGCTAGGTCGTTTGCTGGTTAATTTCGTACATTTTTTAAAGCATAAAAGATGTCAATAGTGTGCTATATTGGATTTAGAGTGATGTCATATTGTTTTTCTAATCAATCTCGGAAAGCCCTTTCATTTAATACATACATAATAACTATGTATGCATAAATAATAACTATTCCGCCATATTGGATTAAGAATAACTTCACATTCGTTTTCAAGTTACTCTTAACAAGCCCTTACATTTAACACCCATAATGTAGAAGTGGATGAAAAATACTTCATCTGCCATCCTGTATGCTCCGTCATATTGGATTTAGAATGACGTCACATTATTTTCCTAGTTACTGTCAATGTGCCTTTCATCCTCCGCTTCGATATCATGCATTTTCATCCAAACTATACGTGTTTACAATATTTCAGCTCAATCGGTTGAAGATATCTACTTCAAAGTTGCATTCAAAGATTCCATCCGAACAAACATACTTATAAACATTGTAAGTTAAATAAAAACTTTTATAAAACATATGTAAGTCCACATATTTTGCTTCTCTATTAATTTTTAAATATATAATAAGTAATATTAAAAACATAATACAATAAAGATAATATCGACAACATACACAAAATCTTCGACTTCAGTAGAATTTTCATGAAATTCACTTTTTTTATTAGTTTCCATAAGTAACGATTAGAATATAGGAAGGAAAAAATGAGTACGTATACTGTAGGTATTCGGATGTATGTCTGTATACTGTATACGGTTATAGCATTCGCCGTTTACGGCAAATGCTTTAATCAATGCAAGAATTATTCATAGCCGCAACTAGAACTTTGCTCTGTTTTGTATACAAAGCACAACTTAGTTTTCCATTGTCTTTATATCATCAAGCGGTGACTCAAAATACTGATACAACAAATAGATCACAACAACTGCTTAAAATAGGCATGCAAATACCTATCGTGGTAGTATGTACCTAACTATTTATTGTAAAGTTATTTTACGGTGTAAAAAATATGTGGATGTGTGGATGTCGGGAAATGTTTGGTTTTCTTACTGTCGATCGATCTATGGTACTTGAATTATAAAGCTTCTTTAAGTAATACGGCGTCTGATATTATTGTTTACTTAGCATGATGTGAAGGCTGCACCGTGACCTATATTTACATCGTAGCGTGTCATGAAATATCAAGGAAAAATATCTTATACTATTAATGCTTAAAAAGTTCGTCATTATCATGTACTAAATCGGGACTAAGATTCTCGCAATAAGTATAAAAAGTAAAATGTTAGTTACACCACAGAAATAATCTTATATAATAATAATTATTATAATGGAAATATAATAATAATAATACACTGAATTGGTGATGGTTATTTTTCTTTCGCAATCGAAATGAAGAGTCGAACTGAGAACACATGACTAAACCTCTTACAACTCGCTTCTTACTCTCCTGTCGTATATAATGGCTAATTTCAGTCCCTTGTGCAATAATCGACAATTTAAGACTTATAATCATACCTACGTTCTATTTATTTGCTGTGGTTATATGTGTATAAACAGTGCTACTGGTAGTAATTTAGACTGACTCATCATTGTCGTTGGAGCTACGGACGATTTAAGGCCTAACAATCAGTCAACTCAAAATTGTCAGGCTTAAATCTTGAGTTTATTTTTTTTAAACGCTCCTGTTGTTTATAAATGAAGATAAGTAGTATAGTACTATATTTTTTGTAATTTCCCTTTCCATCATATTTTGTGACAAGAATACAAATATAATCACCACAGCCATAGCGAAGATGCGTATAACTGTTTTTGATGACTATAATTGCTGCTATGTGTGTGCGTGGTAAACCCATTTGACCTCTTCTCACACAATTCACAATTGTGAAAAGTTATTACAGTAGAACCCGTTTAAGACGATCACGCTTAATACGATTTCTCGCATAATACGTCATTTTGCATCAGTCCCTGCAACTTGAGACATGTTTTCATACATTGTTTAATGCTTAATACGATCGTCATCCCGTTTTATACGCCCCTAACGGCCAACACATATTACCTCTTACCTCTGCGACAGCATCATTAAGGTCCTTAAGAAAGGTTACAGGACAAGATTAGTACATCGCTATCTTCGACAAATAGAAGACCTTGATAGCAAGCGACCCTTGACTATGCATGATGCAATTCTTAACATTGCAGCAGCTTGGAAAGTAATTAAGCCTGAAACCATTCAAAATTGTTTCAAGAAAACAGGTTTTAGAAATAACGAGATTGACGTCGTGTTGGAAGAAGAACCCGTAATACTGCAGGGTTTTCCTGGATATTTTTCCATTGATGATAATGTATCACTGTTCGAAACAACACAACACCCTTGGGATCGATGTAGGTATGCCTGACGGTAGATCCGTCGCTAAACGTCAAAAAAGACAAAAATATAATATGATATTAAACTTTGCACACTCAATGGATGATCCGTTTCGTAGTAACGTTTATTTCTGTGATACGCTCGACAGATTTTCCTTCAGATTTGAACCGACTTTTTAAATTATTTTCTATTCTAGATAGTGCGCATACGACTTTAACCTAAATCATTGTATTGTTGTCAGGAAAGAAACGCGAAGTGGTCAAAGGTGTAGATGGAAAATTCTCCTCAGGCCACCTGGTTGCCATCATGGGACCATCTGGCGCAGGCAAAAGTTCACTTCTGAATGCTATATCTGGGTACAGGTGAGTTTCAATTTGTATTTTGTACCAATATACTTACTTTTCTGGCTGAGCCAACTGTTGAGCGATTCTGTAAAAATCTGTCCGAGTTTAAGTCATTAAGTGAAGAAATTCTATTGCTTCCATTTTTCTATAAAAATACAAAACCAAATTAATTGATTATACGTATCTCAGATTTGCTATTCCTATGTCATTTCGAAACTCACTTTACTTATGCCACGAAACGCTATTACCAATTCAAGATTGAGCGGATGCCGCTTTTGAAGTGAATTTGGATATCTGATTGAATTCGAATTCGGGTTTGGAATATTATAGTATCGCAGAGCTGATGAGTGGATTTGAATTCGGGTTTGAAGTTTTACAGAATCGCAGGGCTGTTCTGTAACTATAATTATATTATTTTCTGAATGGAACGTATTTTGCTCAAGAAGAGACAATCAATATAATAGTCAAGGCGCTCAAAGCCATTAAGCATTAAAAAAAATGCTTAAAAATCCACTTGCTCCAGGTACTCTGAGGTGGACTCGAACCCAATGGCGCAAGTGGATTTCTTAAGAATTTTTAATTAAGAGTATTTTCCAGTATAGCATTGTGAATGAAAAATTTATCAAATATAATAATTTACGTTAATCCATTCCCTCCCTTCATCAATATTTCGTAATATCATAATAATATCACAGTATATGATAGAAATATTGTAGTAATATCTAAGGTTAAATACAATTAACATTAAACTCGCGTAGATAGGTATGAACGATCGCAACATGATGGACATGTTTAGGTTGCGACATCAAGAGTAGCCTCAGAACGTATGGAATAGTATGAATCTAATTCTTTAGAATGTTATAGGGAATCTACTGTTTGGAATTCAAGGCTTCGGATATATTGTGACAACATGTCAGCACTCAGCGTGCAGACTACTTAAGAGTTTTTATAAATGTGTCTGTTCGAGAGTGTAGGGACATGTCATGAATGATGTATTTTAAAATACCAGAAGCAAATTGACCACCACTATATGCGTGCATAGCATCGTCACTGAACCGGTTGGGATTAAGCAGTTGGGTTAGGTTAGGTTAGGATAAAAGTTTTAGGAATATAGTTAATTGTATGGTTTATAGTTAAAGAACGAATCTATTTCAAGAGAAAGAGATTTTATGTGATATATTTTGAACAGCCAAACAAATTTAAGAAGTGTAATTCGATTGAAATTATATCCTAATGAGTATATGGGTAAGATTTAAATATGGATATTGCAGATCAGCAGGCGTAACAGGTGAACTGCTAGTCAATGGTCAGCCAAGAAATGAACACCAGTTTCAGAAGTCGTCATGCTACATTACACAAGAAGATTTGCACCAGCCTCTGTTGACAGTTCGAGAGACTATGGACGTTGCCGCCAGACTGAAACTTCCTAAAGGGGCGAAAGTACATTCAGATGAAATTTTGCAAGAGCTAGGTCTTTTGGAACATCAGCATACGAAAACAGACAAACTGTCAGGAGGACAAAAGAAAAGGTAACTAAGTTAATATAATTCTTTTGTTATGTATGACATGTTTACCTACTTATTTAATACAATGCGTTGGAAAAGATGTAGGTATAATCAAGTTAAATGTGTTATGGATTTATTGTAAAATTATATTTGCCAAAATTTATGGAATAAAGTTATTTAGATTATTTTCGACTGATATGATATTGCTAGCTAAGCTACTAAGTTCTATTTTCAAAAATATATAAGACTAGTGGCCGCCAGCGACTTCGCGTTTTCCATTATTTCTTCGCTCCTAATAAGTAAGTGCAGCGTGATGTTATATAGCATAAAGCCTTCCTCGATAAATGGTATATTCAACACAAAAATAATTTTTCAATTCGAACCAGTAGTTCCTGAGATTAGCGCGTTCAAACAAACAAAGTAACAAACTCTTCAGCTTAATAATATTAGTATAGATTACTACAGAGGCGGTTTTATATCTTCTAAAACATACATACTTTTAAAAAAATTATATGTAAATAAAATTTTTATATATTTATCTTAAGGAAAAATGTTTAACAAATTCATTAGACCCAGATACACTAGATGAGATTTGAACCCACTACCTTTCGCATAGCATATACAGTAATTATCGTAGACATATATTCCCTGGTATAATTCCACCATTATTTATACAGTGTTCTCATATGTTAAGTTAAAAGGATTTAATGAAAATAATTCTATGTTTGCGCAGGTTATCTATAGCTTTAGAATTGGTAAACAATCCACCAGTGTTCTTCTTGGATGAACCGACCAGTGGATTGGATACAGTAACTACTGTACAATGCGTGAGACTGCTGAGACAGCTAGCTCGTCAAGGGAGAACAGTCGTCTGCACCATACACCAGCCTCCCGCTTCGCTTTTAGAACATTTCGATCAAGTAAGTAAAGGAAAATTAAAACTAATCTACTATTTAAGTTAAGCCATGAAATATGTTAATCAGAGTTTCCCAACCTGTGGCCGCGAGCGTAAATATGGTGGACCACAGAATTAGCACAGCGAATGTGCACATGGAGTCATATTTCAGATACTATAGAGTACGGAATAATATCTATAAATTATTCACAGACACCGACAAAGTTCAGACACGATCAGGGCACGATCCATGTCTCTTGTCTGTGCGTGTCTGCGCGCTCATATGGTACTTTATATATAAATTAGCTTTCCGCTAGCGATTTTGCCCGCGTGGTCCGTAGGGAACTGATTTTTGGACATCGATTCATATTACGACAAGGATATAATTACAATGACAAATTGAATAGTAACGTTTTGATTTGAGGTGAAAGAATTTTCAAAATTGTCCCAATAGTTTCGGAACCTATTTATTCGTTGCAAACAAACAAACAACCGATCAATTCCTCTATATAATTTTAGTATAGCTTCAACAATGTATAGAAGAATATTTTTAGACTGTGTCGGCATTATATTTGGCACACACAATAACCATAGCTATAGATTAAATAATGATTTGATTTGTAAAGATGCTAGGATCTGATCTAAATCGTCCAAATAAGTTTCTTATTCCGACAAATATAATTTTACGATCAGTGTATTGCATTAGGTAGATAGCAAATATGAGTTGCGGAACCAAAATGGAACTTGTACTCATGTCCGGTTTTTTAAACTAGACGTCGTATGAATCTAGTTATTCACATAGGCCTCTCCTTGGCAAGTTGAAATGTTGCGAAATAAGGCTCCGGCGGAACGAGCGATATTTGTTGGTGTGCAATCATATTCCAATAATATTTAATTAGAAGGTGTATTTCATAGAAATCGTAATGAAATAGAATTGTAATTTTCACAGCCTATTAAATCATAGAGGTTATAAGGCCCTTCTACTCAGATCTTAACTAATAATACTATAGAAAAAGGCAGTAATTTTTGTTGCCTGTATATAATACCAAAAAAATGGGAAACAGCTCCTAAGATTTCATGAAATTTAGTATGTAGGGGGTGCGAGGGCGATAAATCGATATACCAAAAAGAAAAAATCTAGGTACTGTTTGTTTATGTGTGCAAGTCATATTTTTGATCTCATGTCAGGTCGTAGTGAAATTTATATTTAGAAAGGAGTTCAGTAGTTTCTCTGCAATGGTTAAGCACTACTATTTGCACTATACATTTTACTTTTGAATGTTATAATTTTTGACGGGGATTCACGTTAAAAATGAATCTTATTTGTAGACTATAACAATATATGAAGTTAGTTTTAGTAACAATAGATAATCTTAAATAGAAATTGAAATTAATGCCCTAAAAAGAGAATAGAATCGTGCGAAGGTCAACATGGTTATTATAGGTTTTTAGCATTAAAAATGATAGTTCACAGACAACGTGATTCGTTCATGAGAATGAGCTGCGTAAAACAATGAAATGTTTTTATTAAAGTTCTTGAGTTATTAAGATACCATTGTACATTTAAAAGTTTGTAGTAAATTGTACTTACCGTGATACAGCAGAACATACATATACATAGTAAGGTACCTATGTTCAATCTTGTCAATATCAATATGCATGAAAATACTAGGTAATTATCACTTTTTCTCTTTTTGTACAGTAAGTTTAGATAACTAGAGTTTTATTGTGACACTGACTGAAAATATTATAAGAGTATTTTATAATAATATTAATAATTTATTTGCTTTTAAATGAGGTACATTGTAGATTGAATTACAATTAGACTTCAGCCCATTTAGCCATCAGCTATAGCATGCAAATATTGATAAAATTACAAAGGCACATTGGATATATGTATGTCAAAATTATTAAATTAGAAATTAAATTTTATAAATTGCATTTTGAGAGATAAAGGTATCTTTAGTCAAATATCGTATATTACTAAAACCTTCCTAAGCCCATATTCCACTATACTAAGTGTTTAGCGATGATAAAAATATAAGTAGAACAAATTTAATGGTGCTTCTGCTGTACAATAGGTACAGTAGAGCAGTAAGAGCTGAAATAGGTTTTGGATAATTTATCTTTTAATTTTCCATTTACACAATTTAATATTAGCTAAAGGCACAGTTTACTAATTACATAAAATAATACTTAAGTCTATTTAATCTTTTAAGTTTGTTTGATTCCAAGGAATCCACAATTTATTTTGAAAGCACTAAAGTGTCCATGCACAATTAAGTTATTTACGTCAATAAATTTGTATTCCGATGTAAAATGTTTAACTTTTATGTTTTATGAATTACACGCGACATTTCTTTTGAACGCTTGTCGACAAAACTGTATTGTTAATCATTTATGCGCGCATACGCATATCATTTAAAATGCGGTCATTTACACGAACCATATATGTGACGAAAGAACGTTCACCTTATAAATAAAAGTATTCGAAATCGTTGACCGAGTTATAATAAACACTTCAACAGCTACCGCAACCGATAGCAGGCAATGTACTCGGAACTCATCGATACGGAAAGCATTTCTCTTGTCAAGGTTATCTTCCAATCAAAAGACCATAAATAGTATTCGTAGATGTACGCAGGTGTACATGAAGGTGAGATATAAATTATACGGAGTGCAAAAAGCTCTCATCGACACTTTTGAAATAACTATTTTCCTGTTCTTTAGAGTATAAAGACATACTCATAATTTAAAAAAGAACAACAGAATCACTAGCGACAAAATATATAATGGATGTGGAAATAATGAGAAGAAAAAAACACTCATTATAATTTACGATTTTTCTGAGAAATTTAATAGCGCACTATCTTGTTATTTCAATAGGTATTGCGAATGTTGACATGAAGTGTGATAAATAATTAACATAAGTAAAAGTAAAATAAACCTTGAATTATGTACGATAATCAAGTTCAATAGGTTTGAGAGTTTGCATCAATCTTTATATATTGAAAATCCGATAGAAACGTGATAATTCTCACGTTTGATTTATCGAACGAAGAAAATAATGTTTCTGCACCTGTTGCTCACGGACCCCGGGGGCTCGCGACTACATGTATCGTACATATAGGTCTTAAATTTTATAAATTTTACGACATTTGTCTTTGCCTTTTTTCATTGTGGTATAGCCAGCGGAAAATTAATTACCATTTTTACTCACCAGTTTTGTTTGATTTCCTAGAAATTCGTGAATCAGAAAAGGTAAGAAAATGCTGGGATAGAAAGAAATAAAACTAAGCCTATCATTATTTCTTTTGACAACCCTGCGACAATTTACGTCTTGTAATGGGGCACGACTGGTTTATGAACAAGTAATACGACAAGATTTTTCAGTGTTGGGATTTATGACAGGTTTCTTTTTATACGAAAAGAATGCAAAATATATAACAAGGAAATAAAGGTATAGGTGAAACTGATTTTATTATTCTTGTGAAATACTGTTGTTTATTGAGTTATTCAGTAACATAAAGTTGTCATCGTTATATTTGTTTTATTCTTTAATTTTCTTGGTGGTTTTAATAAAATGATTCTTGATAAAACGATTACAATCTTCTACATAATTAATTTATTTCAATAACACAGTATCTGTGTTACTAACAGCGCCTCCGCAGCTCAATGAAACTTGGAACTCTCTACAAAAACTTGGCGCAGTAGGTAAAATAATTAAAAATCATATCAAAATACAAGACTTACATGTTCGTTCATTGATTAAAAAGTGTAATTTGGCTAATGACAAAAACATCTCATTGGTATGAAAATGTTCTACTTTTGAATACCGCGGTCACCGCATATATGAACTGTTGTATTGAACTGAAAAAAGTCGATTATTTTAAGGGCTTTGGCTACTCATCTTGGAATCTGAGTAACGTATCTTATATTTACTCCAATTATATTTACGCGTGCAGTACCTACCCATTTAGTAAAAAATATTTTTTGAACTGGTTTAGCGCGTGCTCTTTTAGTTGTTTCATATAAATATGAAATTGTCTTATAAACCAGTTCAAAAGTTGTTCTTTTTCAAGAATATTATTTTATGTTATCTTGTAGTATTTTTTTAACATACTTACATACATTGCAAGTAAAGTAAAAAATCGATATAAATGTTTTTTTCCCTTTGTACGAATCATAGACCTTGTTGCTTTTAGTGTCGTGCAGTCCTTGAATTAATTATACTCGTATAGGTATAAAAAGTTCGCGTGAGGTATCCTCCTTGTTATCAAGCTTTGTAGTAATTAACATCAATAAAGATAAACGAATGGCAATTATAGTGACCTGTAATGCACTTGTAGTATTTATTTAAATCACATCAATAATATAATTCACTATGCTAAGTCCTGCCGTGTAGGACTGTCCGAATACCTAAACATAAAAACCACTGAACGAATTTTCATATTACTTCCAAATGCTGTAAATTGCTTTAGAGTATTTCAAAACTATTTTAAGTAAGAGCCTCCTTTCCTCAGACTCCTATAGAAAAATTACTAATTCTCTAGATTTTTCCTATTGATATGTACACAATTTGAGACAAGACATCGTTGACTCCTATACCCAATTTTGATCCCAAGTTGTTGATATTAACAACTTTGGAAATCTCTTCCCAAAGCTTTCAACAATAGTTGGAGTAATTTAGTAAGTTTTTTTGTAATCTGGTAGAACGATATTATATGATGCTAGATAAAATAATACCGACTGGCTTCAATTCAATTCAATCAGTCAAAGTCAAGCATATGTGAAAGTCAGATATCTATGCTATCGGTTTGCAAATCGACGGCCCAAAAACATGTACGTAGCCCGAAAACATGTATGGAAAAAAATGAACTACAGCTCAGCTAGGGCTGATTCTTTCGTTGCTTTATTTGAAACTAACGGTTTTTATATGACTTAAATAATGACTTAAATATAAGTTATATTTACAAAGACATTAATATATATTAATAGCATATGTTATAGTTTCCCGTGGATGAAAGAACTTTTGAAATCGATAAAGTAGTTTAGGAGCCTATTCGATGCGAATGAATAACCAAAGTTTTCAATCCAAATAAGAATTATCTGAGTATTAGTGGCAAGACGAACCTCTTGATGTGTGGGCGTTCTTAATCAATACGGCTGCATCGACGACGTACAAAAACTTACTTTAATGAAGAATGTAGATATTGCTTAAATTTTTATTATTGTTTTTTATTACGGTTATAAATCCATCGAAGGACAAAGGAGCTCTTCCATCGATCTGGTTTTTTAGATTTTCTTTTATTTATGCCTGGTAACTAACTTCAATCTGCATGGAAAATCTAGTTTAAAGTTGCAATAAATCAGAAGTCCTATACGACAATATAAATGGTTTTTATTATAAAATCATCAGATAAATACAATGTTTTATCATAATAACATATTATTATAAATAATAGGAAAATGTACTTGTTGATGTAGTGATAAATGTTATGTGACTGGTGCGATGCACAATGAATTTTAATTTAGTTCGGTGTTTAAAATCAGTAGAAATAATACGTATTAATTAGAATGACATTACGGAATTAAACTATCCATACATATATTATGTGTGGATAGAAATAGGTATAATAAAAAAGGTTTATTTTTGCAAGAACGAAGTACTTAGCGAATGATTTTATTTAATCAAGTTTTCACTCACAATGTTATACTGATACCAACTGATAAATATAATTCATTTATTTTACCAAATATTTTTCATTTAATATTTAGTCAGTGGTTGCAATAAAGTGTCATCATCATCATCAGCTCTTTTGCGTCCCCACTGCAGGAGCTCAGGCCTTCCTTATGAATGGTTAAGGAGGATGACCCTCCTGCAGGCCCATTGCGGATTGGAGGGTATTAACGATTGCAAATGCAGCCGGGACCAACGGCTTAACGTGCCTTCCGAAGCATGGAGTAGCTCGAGATAATGTTTTTTTGGTCACCCATCCCGTGACCGACCTTTGAGAAAGTTGCTTTACGACAACGATCGCGGACCGGAGCGCTTAAAATAAAGTGTTTAAACAATTTTGACATTGCTCCATAAGCTATAGACTTGCGAGAAGTATAATAAATTAGATATCAAAGCGAATTCTATATTTGTTATTTATTTAAAGCCACGTTAAAGAATATCTGTATTCACCGAGAATGGAATATGTTAAACCAAAACAGGGTAGAGGAAATTCGAGTCATTATCGAAATCTTTTAATTTCCAGGTATACGTGATAGCAGACGGCAGGTGCATTTTCCAGGGCGATACAGCTGCTATGGTTCCGTATTTACAAAGCGTTGGATTACCTTGCCCGAGACATCACAATCCAGCTGATTTTAGTAAGTTTCATTGGACTCCTTAAAATTTCAAACTTAATAACTTGATAAAAAATACAAATAGATTAATTGCAAATTTGACAAAAGTCGACCTTATAAGTTTTGTATTTTTCTAATAAAGCCATTCTAGTGAATTACATACTTGTATCTGAAGTATTTTAACGGAACCTTGTATTCGACGTATACAATCGAAGTTGGCTATCCGATCTTTCTATCATCGTCTTAGCAAAGTATTTTGTGTTTTTTTTAATAATTTAAAGTAGGTACAACAAACAACGATTCTTACCTCTAGTACGGTGGTAAGAATTGTTGTTTGTTGTAATTTTTAATTTTCTATACACCCACTATGTATTTTACAATAACTTATAATGTAGTGATAGTAGTGTTTCAATAAAGATTTATCTCTCTATCTATCTATATTTATTTTTTATAAATTCTTCACTATGATTGAGTAGCTTTCCGAAATATTATTTCTGGAATATTTTAATGGAATATATAATAGAACAGGACGCCACTACATTTTGTTCTTTTATTTTCATATATATATCTTGTATGACTTTGAAATTGAGTATAATTTTCAACGTTTTATTCTATAGTAACATATTTTTTGTGATATTTATCAATTTTCAACCTGCGTTATCCAAATCCATCCAGTAACCCACATTCACACTTTTACATTTATTAGAAGAATGACTACCTACAATCATAATACCTCAGTCTTGGCACAATTTATGAACACTCGACATTGATGTCAAGTTTCAAGAGTCATCAACCTATTTTAATGATATATCACACAGCGCGCATTGACCTTCACTCGCGGAGAATTAGTCGGACATTTTCTTTACACAATAATCCGTTTAACGCAATGTGTACGCACCACCCACACTTTTGTATCAATTCTAACAAACCTATTATGATGTCTCTAGTGCGCGGGAGGGGGGGGGGGGGGGAGGAACTACTGGATTTGAAACTACTGGATGAAGGTTCGAAACTACTGGATTTTAAATATTTTTTCACCCAAGGAAAGCTTCATTATACCCGGGTGACATAGGTTATAATCTACGTGGGGGAGGTCACATGAAACCAGCTAGTACTCTATAATTTATTAATGGGTATGGGTAATACTCTATAATGAATTACGGTAATTTAAGAATTTTCGTTGCTTTTGGGGAATAGGATTTTTTTTTACTTATAAATGCGAAAATACTATTCGATAGTCAATCAAACGTTGGCACAGCTGATTGAATGTGTATTTAATTTGATATAGCCTGATTGATTCTTTAGCACGTTTTATAATTTATATTCAACGACAACTAGCGGCCTTTATATATTTATGCAGTGTCAATATCAAATAAAGCCATCCTTTTAAAATAATGCTTTAAAATTATATTATCTGCTATACAACATAAAACGAAATATCTCTAGCTAGGTAAACGATCAAAATACACGTTGAATAAACCAGACAAGCAAAGAATAATGTCACACTTTTGTAAAAAAAAACCATTAGTCGATCAAATATTATGCAAAATTTATGTGCGAATTACTAAGTAGGTACGCTTACCAACTTCGTAATTCGTACACAAATTTTGCATAGGTATATAGCATTGAAATCACAATACCTAATCATAACAAGCGTGTCTATTCTTATTATATGTAGTACATCATTATTCTAAACCAGCTGCTTTCCCGTAACTGCGTCTATGTAAATTATAGCCTATGTTACCTACGTATGATGCAAGTGAAAGAACTTTTAAAATCAGTGGTTGCGAAGCATATTCGATGCAAACAACCAATGAAATCTTTCATTTTTATAATTTAAGCAAAACACTGGAACTTGGGACCCTAGACAAAACAATGGAACGACGCCCATAAAAAATCACAACAGAATAAAAGACTGATATAGGTACACCGATTAAAGGTGACAAATTTTGCCAGTGACAAAAGAAGCTTTGAATACCTTGAACTCATATTCAAAGAACAAAAGTAAAGTTTTTAAGGTACCTTCTGCATTTTAAGGCCCCCACTGCGTACTAGGCAGTTTTCTAGTTAGCGTAGGCATATGGACATGCCGGCCCTGATCAAATTTAAGTATGTAGGTCGGAAATCTCAGAATTTAAAAGCATAGGCAAAGTGAATACTTTTTCTCTTGATAATGTATTTGACGATTTGTAATTTTTTTTATAGTAATCGAGCTTACGGAAAATCCGGATCACATAAACCTACTGAGCGAAAAAATTATGAATGGTAAACTTTATCAATCGGCAACCATTGAGAGCGCTACCGAACCTTTAAACAGTATAGAATTGAAAATCTGCTACAAAACAGGAGACGATGCGCCAGAGACAGAAATAATGCTGTCAAATGAAAAATGCACGTATAAAGTACCGAGATACAAGGAGTCAGATTCCGTCAGTACATTGTCGAGTGAAGTTTCACACGGTAACTCCTCCGTTGCATGGATGAAGGTACAAAGCGACTCTTGCGCATACTCAACAACATACTGCGAACAATTTTCAATTCTATTAAGCAGAATGATTTTACAAATATCAAGAAACAGGCAAGGTGAGTGCATCAATCTAAACGACTAAACTCAATTGTAGCGATTGTTTTTCTATAAATAATTAAGGATAAGATTCCATAGGAGCTTTTCCAGTCCTGAAAATTACTTATCGCAAGATCAGGATCTATAAAATTTTCGATTTGAATATTTTAGAACATATGTATTTTAAGTTTATAATTAATATTGTTCATTTTATTTGTTCTTTAAAAGCCCAAAGTTTGCATTTTTCGCCAAAGTCCCCTTTTGAAGATTGAATTTAATATTTTTATATGAGCGTCTGTATTAACCTTAAATTTAAGTTACTTTCAGAGCCAGAAATGCACCATATCCTTTATTTTACGTTTCAAGTATCCCCGTTATTTTGACAAATGTAAAAAGGCAAATGAAACTCGCCAGGGTTATTCAATAAATAGAGGATGATTTAGACGCTGATTTATTTTTTCTAAGCAAAACTGTTTCGATACAAATAAGACAAAGTTACTTACAGACTTGTAAAAAAGGCTTTTTTCTTTTGAAAGAGTCTATTCTCAAACTTGAATTCTCTTAAATTTTTTTAGGTCTCTGGATTCAATTGATTCATCATATCATGTGCGGCATCCTGATCGGTCTCTGTTTCTACAACATGGCCAATGACGGCACTCAGATGTTTAACCATCTCAAGATGTGTGTAGGACTAGTACTTTTCTTTGCCTACACTCAGATTATGGTTCCTGTACTTATTTGTAAGTATCAGTATTTTATATTCATTAACATCCACATGACCTTAGTTATTTTCCTATTACAGGCAAAAATAAAATTCACTGCCCTATAGACGCGCAGTAATGGCTCGGTGCCTTTCATTTTGCCGCTCTGACCAACTTCCCCACCGCCAGGAGATTGGCCCTTGTAATTATCTACGGTATATAATTTATGCACACGAATATTAGACAGAATTCATGGAGCGATATTTGCGTTGTCTTATTTCAAAACTCACAACCGCAGTTTTTTTGCGGTCTCGCAGCCGCAAAGGCATATCGAAAATGATTAATACCACTCACCAAAATAGGGTACTTTATGAATGCTATTTTATGGTTCGAAAGTCAAAGTTTAATATTGTATAGCGTAATTTATATTGTATTTAGTATCATACGATTTTTAAAGTATAATAGTTTTAAAACTTCAAATTAAATTTATCAGGTATTATATATTTTTGAAAAGCTTATCTTTCAGAGATTTGAGAAAAGAAAAATATTTACAATTGTTTTGAATTCAAATGCAATTGTATTAAATAATTGAATGACAAATGAAGATAAAAAAGTATTGTTCCACTTCATCAAAACTTTTAACACGTTGTGAATTTGATGTAATTGAATAGTATTCATAAAAAACTTACAATAAAAATTAGTTGCCGTATTTTGAGTTTTACGAAGAATTGTCAAGAAATTTAATACGAGTCTGAGTACGGATATCACTATTAATTGCGGTTTCATAATCGACTCCTATCGTTGTGGTACCTATCGTTTATCAATTTATTTTTGCACCTTTTCCATGAGAATAGATATCCGAAATACGAGTAATCCACACGACACATATTCCGAAACAGTATATAAAGGGCTGTAAAAATATTTGTCCATTATAAATTCACAGACACAATAAATAAAAATACTGACCTGTTCCCTATACTAGCGCAGAAACAATATTATGCAAGACATTTATATAAAGTGTTATATAGAGTATTATATATAAAGTCTTTTTTTTTTTTTTCAGACCCGCAAGAAGTGAAGCTAGTTAAAAAGGAACATTTCAACCGTTGGTACAGTTTAACACCTTACTATGCTGCGTTGACAGTCTCCAAGTTACCCGTGCAAGTGATACTGAATAATTTGTTCTGCACTATAGTATACTTCATGGTGGGTGTGCCGTTCTCCGTAACGAGATTCATTGCGTTCTGCCTCATTGGGAACGTCGTGTCGCTAGTCGCCGAAGGAATGGGAATGGCTATCGGATCGGTGTTCAATGTTAGGGTAAGTAAATCAATTTTATGAACCTCTGTAAAATGCACTGTGCTCTTAATCGAACTTAACCCCTTAAAATTCCTCGTCACGCTATTGACTTTCTCTCCTACTCCTTTTCCGTACATGCTGTGCACCTATGGAACTCATTGGCAAACAGGAAAGTCTTAAGGAAAGCTTGTGCTTTTGGTTGTTTTGTTGCTCAAGTAAATAGCCATTTCCTATTTACTTGAGCAACAAAACAACCCAACTATCTTGACATTCTTAATCCTTTAATATTCAATATTTATTTCCTTTATAAATTATGTATAGTAATTATTACTGTATATTAATTATACTTGTTAGTTAAAAGGAACGGAAATGACTATCTTTGGTCCATTCGTTTCCTGCAAAAACTTTTGCTAGAATCGCCATCTAGAGGATGGTGTTTTTAGTGCTTTCTTTGCTAGGTGTTATATTTAGTAGCCCGGGAACCGCGGTCCAATCGACGTAGCTTGGACGTTCTATTTATGCGAATTGGTAATGAAACTCACTGTGGCGATGTAGGTTTTTCCTTTGTTGTAAATGATTTGTAGTATCTAAATTAACATCTTAATTAACAATATACAGCGCCTTCTCCTTACTGACTGTTGAAACTTTTTGCAGTTCGTCTTACTATTGATTGTTGTGGCGATGTTAGTGCGAAGTGTTAGAAGTCACTACGTATCAATCGCCACAGTCCTTTTACGCTCCTGATGCCTGTTCTTAATAACTCAGTTTTCATATTAATATTGCATTATTACACTAGTTATATGTATATGCAAAAATTCAGCTTATTCCAAACCCAGAAAATGGGTTAAAATTAAAGTACATACTTACATGATTTTTTTTACACAAAGTGCAACTAAATAAGACATGTAACAAGTTATGCTTTTATAAACGCAACGACATCTATTAGCAGTTGAATGAAACCTTATGGTAATTTGTTTGCTTATCTACAAGTAAGCGTCAGTCATTGATTAATTAGTCAAGTAATATTATTTTTACAAACATTTATCATGTTATTTTTATTTCAGAACGGATGCGCTGTAGGGCCTACTTCGATCGCACCATTCCTAGGGCTGGCTATCTACGGCTTCGATTTCGCGCACAGGATTCCTCTCCTCATGAATATCATCATGAAGACCTCCTTCATCAGATGCGGGGTCGTCGCAATGGTCCTCACAGTATTCGGCTTCAATCGTACCCCTTTAGAGTGCCAAGACGTTTACTGTCACTTCGCAAAACCGGATGTCCTTATCAAGTATTTAGATTTAGAAACGACCTCTGTCTGGCTAGAAATCGCCACAATGGTTGGCATTATGTTCGTCTTCAGAACTTTATGCTATATCGGCTTAAGATGGCGTTTCGCAACGTGATTTATTCAATGTGATTAGTTCAAATAATGCGTTTCCTTAACTATTTTTAGAGGTGCTAGTACAAAATTAAGCTTGTAAAAATTGTGATAAATTGTAAACTCTTTCACAGTGTAGAACAAGCACGTGAAATCTTGTTGTATATTATTATATTAAAAATATACCTTTATAAATGGGCAAGTACTTCGAAATCGATATTTCACAACTACATTTTATAATGAAGATTGCTTCGTGATGCTTGACCATTTTATGTGATTTGGTTTTATTTCATAAAACGGAAAATAATGTTCATATTCTTTAAAGGTGCTCTGAAATGTCAATTTAATATTTTAATTTAAAATAAAAATTATATAGTGCTTTTTAACAGTAGATACTGAAACACTTTACGATTCGATCAATTTAGGTTGACAGCATTATGAAGTGGTCATTATGGAAATTGTGTAATTATCATTTCTAAAATCTGCTCAAGAAAGATTAATGAACTGATTCGTTATCATTTCTACTCTAATTGCCGTAGAGTAGGATAGGGGATGATATACCGAATATTGATTCTAATAGTACACCCACTATTTATCTTTTCTAATTCATCATCACTTACCATTACTTAACAGCCAAAGATGAATTTTCACTATAAACGCCGACTGATATTTTTATGAACTAGTTACGTGTTGCCTTAAGATCTGTTTTACATAGACTGATAGACAGAAATTCATCTCACCCATTGTCATCTAGACATAAGGTTGAAAATTATTTATTTTTATTGTAAATGTGCTGAGAATATGTTGAATCATCTTTGATAAATATATAATTAAGTTTTTATTAAGTACTTATTATTATTAAATGAATTTTAATGTGAACTGTACCTATATCTGTAGATAGGAATTTTTACAGGGTCACCCACAGAAGAAATAGATTTGAAAGATTGATGAAAGACGTGAAAATATAAAAAAAATATTTTGAAATAGTTATTGCCGATGTTAAGCGAGACTGCATGTTTTCAGAAATATTTGCCAAAGAATACAGTTTTACCTGAACCTCTATAACGCGATGTACTTATAACGGTCACTCCAAAGAAAACGCATTCGGTTCGGTTTTGCTTTGTATTATTGTTCATCATGTTTCTTTTCCAAATAAGAGACAGTGTCAGTTGAGAAATCTTATCCCGAACCGTTAAATTATACCGAGTTTTGAAGTGGACCCCAAAGAATATAATATGAAAATATAGCCTATGTAAAAGTAAATAGAGACTAATTTTCATTATGTCGCTGCGACTATCAAGTTTACTCAATGATTCAGATCTCCATACACAATTACTGTAATTATTTTCTATCACATGTAAAACTACATTTTGTCAAGTTAGAACTTAAAGAACCGACAGGTTTTTAATCTAAGTCTAATCCACCTTAAGTGTATTCACTGCTTTAAGTTGAAATATTTATGTAATATTATAAAAATGTAATTCTAAGTTCACTTAAGTCGCGTTAACAGGGATATAGGTTGATGATTAATAATATAATAATCTATGCATAACAATATAGTTTGAATATAAAATGAAGTCAATGCATTTTTGTACAATAAAACATTTTTTTATTCACCACGACTTATTATTTCCTTATATTTTAAAATAGAAATATCAATAGTAGACGCCAGTGTGCAATTCAATGATTTATTCATTTAAGCAATTGTGATTTTTTTGTATAACACATGTCTCCTCGCCTTTTTAAAACAGATTACAGTAAATACCTAAGCTGGGTAGAGCAAAAAATCTTATGGATCTAATCAATCTCTAATAAGCACAATATGAGAACACAGATTAATCAAAACATAGGTTCTATATCTAAAGTTCAAAAAATTTTAGCCACTTTATAATATAGACAGATAAATACGTGCGTATGAAACTCAAAAATTAATCGTATATAAAGTTTATTTCATTGCAATTGCATAAGTATTGCATACAGGCTTCGATTAAAAAGTAACTTGCATTTTTACCAATTTTTCTTATCGAAAATGAGTATAATTACGAGAACAAATCGAAAAACTGCCGAATTTAAGGGGTAATTTTGTCTAGCGTGAAATTTTTATAAACTCATCTTTTGACTGTAACAAACTATTATAAATTTGATGTTTGTATCTATATTAATAATAAGTTTGTTTGATTGAACTCGATTTTTATCAAACAAAGATGCTTCAATTTTACAGTCCCATAATCAACAAGGAACTCTTGTATTTACGTCATGTCCGTCTGTCTAAGGTTTAGCTCAAAAATGATTTGTATTAGAAAGGTGTACTTTAGCATGGTTTACACTTTAATTACGCCGACAAAGTGGTAAAATTTAATCTTGAAAAAATCATTTTTTTCCCTCCTCCACATGTAACTTTTTTTATTTTCCCATCGTGTGGGCTATCGTCGGATAGGTATTTCAAAAATATTAGTGCGGTGTATGGGAGAACGTTTTTCGATTTCGTTAATCGTTCATGACTTATCTAAGCTTAAAATTTTCAAAATGCCAATTTTTGTTAGATTCCAATGTCCACCCTACCATTATTAAACCATTATCCATAAAAAAGCGCAAAAAGCTTTGTGGAAGCTGCGGGTTAAAGCTACTAAACTCCCTATGTGTATCAACTAATAATAAAAAAAAAACATTTGTAACTTTTATAATATCTCGTGTAAAACTATACAGAAGAAGACATAAATAAGAATCTCACATAAATTCTACTTAACTTTATATACACAATAATAAAACAAAAACCAAAACAATTTACAAATAGAATTTATGAGTTACAAATATGTAGTTTGTACAAAATGAAATTACTTATTGACTATTTTATTTCTTGCCATGACCCTTGTCTCTCCGTTTCTTAACATGCTTCTTTGTTTTGGATTTTCTTTTTTCTGCTTTTTCATCTTTAACTGCCTTCTTTCTAGCTTTCTTGCTGTTAGGAGATTCATCTCTTGGACGGGCACTGTTTTTAAATTTGCTCCCTGGAAAATAATACAAAAATATACTTACAATTCATTTCTACAGCCACACTTTGAAAGAAATAAAATGGTAAGGCAAAATATATGGGGATTACGGTTTTTGTCTGCAAAATTTACATTTGTCTAACAGTTGTTTGTAAATGCAAACTGAAAACAGGAGTTTGCAGCTAGGTACAATAACTAAGGTAAAGACAATGATCTTATAATGGTAGTTCACAATACAAGTTAATTGTAAGTCATAAAGATTCTACATAAAATGTCTGCGCAAAATAAAATTTACTTATATTATACTACATTTTATTATATATGTAGTATATTTTATTATACTACATGCCATTCTATATAAAAGCAATAAAAAATTGCAAACTTACTATCTTCATCATCTTCTTCATCGTCAGAGTCTGAACCTGATGCGGTGTCAGTGATGTTTTCATTTTGTAAGATCTCCGGTCTCTCAACTGTGCCAGTAAGATTTTCATTAAAACCAGCAATCTTTTTGTAGGTAAGATCTTCTGTTTCACCTTTTTTAGCTTTACTAATATCTCGCTCATAGTCAATTACCTAAAAAAAAAAAACAGAAAAGCAATCATCAGTTTAGTGTTGAATCCAATATAAAGTTCAATCTACAAGAAAAACAACTTGAAAGAATGTCAAGCTTATTTTAACTATAAGAAACAACTGCGAATTTTAAATAAGTTACTTTGTGCAACACTAACCTCAGTAAGTCTTTTAGGAATGTATATATTTTTGAAAGCTTCCTCTTCAACTTGTTCTTGTGCAGTCATTTCTTCAAAATTTCTAGAAGCCACCTTTATTGACAATTTTTCTAAGCATTCTTCTAAATTATTCTCATTTATAGTTGAATCCGTTATAAAATCAAAAAGTTCTTTCACTGTAAGTGTAGCTACACCTTTTTTTCTAAAGAAATCTGATATATTAGTGCAATCTTTTCTCAAAAATTCAAATGCATGAGGATGGTCATGTTCTACAGATTGAGAAACGTCAATTATAACTAGGGAACCTTTATGGTATAACATATTGAATTCAGATAAGTCAGCATGAACTAATTTACAAATATTAAACATTTTCCACATCATTGTAATACAGTCTCTATATAGAGTACGAGCAGTTGACTGTGATATTTCAACATCTTTCAACTTCGGTGATGGCCAACCTCCTTCACCCATGAATGTCATAACTAACACATGGCTCCTCAAAATTATAGGTTCTGGAACACTTAACTGTGCATTAAACATTCGAACAAGATTTCTCATTTCCTTCTCAGCCCATGTCCGAACCATTTTTCGAGGATTCGATCTACAATAACCATTTCTAAATCTATACTCACCTGATACATATTTGTCTCTGTCTTTGAAAATCAAGATGGATGTTTTGAATATCTTCACAGCATAATCTCTGCCATCTTTTGAAGTTGCATGATACACATTTGCTTCTTTACCAGTAGATATGCAACCATTGATTTCATTAACAATGCCACGGTTTAAGAGTTTGAATAATATCATTTTTGTCCTTGGGTCCATAACTTGTTCAGCGGTGGCTCTGTCATGTTTATCTTTCACTCTGATTCTTTCATTATCAATTTTTCTATCATTTTGATCTAAAAACTTCTCAGCATTGGATGATAATGTAGGCTCATATTTGTCAACATTTATCTTGTTTATGTATTTTTTGAATAATTTTTCAGTTGGTTGATAATTTGAAATCTTATTAGAGGGAGCTTGAGTGTTAGCATGATCTTTTTTGGATATATTACTAGGATCATCAGAGTCATAGAAGTAGTCATCAGAATCAATATCGTCTTCATCACTGCTGAGCTTCTTAATTTCTGGTAAAGGAGCAAACTGAAATAAAATTTAACATTAGTCAATAATTTGGTAAAAATACAATATTATTATATACACAATTTATTGATTTTTAATTTATGTTCTACAAAGATAATAACACCTTGAGATATTATTGTGTAAATTTTTCAAGTACACATTCCACTTACTACTTTTAGTTATTAATGCTTAGTTTGCAACTTCAGATTAGAAGTTAAAAATTCTGTAATGATTATACAGACATTTCATACTTAGCTGGTGATTTTTAAAGTATGTATTTTTCTTTACGATAGGTGGTTTATTAATAACAGATATATTGTGAATTTCACAATATTTGTAGAACAGAAGTATGACACTAATTTCATACGTAGATGAAAAACGATAAAATATTTTGTAGTTTTCTTTCTATAGTTCAGAACATTAGTATTTAGGGAATTTGTAACAACATACCCGCACCGACTTAACCTTTTCGGTTATTTCTTCTTCATAGTCACTGAACTGTCCGTCTGACATTTTATTCAATTGATAAAAAATAGAGATGGTCTCAAAATTACAATCCTAGAAGAAATACTAATTACACTTTCTAAACTATGAGCTAAAACATCAAAGTTCACTCGCACGTGTGTAACTGACGTTGACAGACCAGACTGATAGTGAGAGTAGAGATGATCGATGTTGAATAAACATCTATTTTGAGCTAGAAAATATCGATGTTTTGTCATCGATGTTTTAAATTGGATAACATCGGCACATCGATGTTTTCGTGCCAAACATCGATGTTTATGAATAAAATGTCAATATATCCTTTGGGCCATCTAACGTGCTCCAGACGTACTAGCTAGATGATATCGTATATCAAGTTCAACTATTTTACAGAAAACTATTTGTTTGCGTACTCCAGTTGCACTCATAACTGGAGTACGCAAACAAATAGTTTTTCTTTGCTTGCATTTTCCTAGGAAATCTATACTTATAATAAATCTGTAGAGAAGTCAATTCTGTACATGAAATATATTTCCAAAATAACTATCAGGGGGTGATTAGGGACCGATACTGATGCCAAAAATGCAATCAGTAAATTTTTTTTCTGTCTGTCTGTCTGTATAACCGTTATAGAAACAAAAACTACTCGACGGATTTTAACGAAACTATGTACAATTATTTTTCATACTCCTAAGTTGGTTATAGTATACTTTTCATCACGCTACAATCAATAGGAGCAGAGCAGTGAAGGGAAATGTTGGGAAAACGGGAGAAGTTACTCCATTTTTTTAGCTTCCGTCGCGTGTGCAACCTTAATGGTTAAAGCTACCCAGAAATCATGTATGACGGAAATGTTCTACTTAAAATTATATAAAAAATATCCCACAACAGCATATGTCTATCTTTTATGGTTGACTCACAATAACACGTGTAACTCCCGATAGCTTAGCAGTTCGAAGCTTTCTGATTGTATTTGTCTATTGTCTACTCTTACGTTTATAACACTCTCAGTCATCCCTAATTAAAAAAGTTAAATCACGCTGAAACTACTGAACGGATTTTGAAGAAATTTGGTATACAGATAGGGTATTAGCTGACTTAGATAATAGGATACTTTTTATCCCACTTAACATTTCCCTAGGGACGACGCGGGCGAAGCCGCTGGCGAAAGCTAGTTAAAAATAAATCTGTCAACTTCAGCGCTCGTTGGCATCTTATAAGTTACTTTATTCACCGGTCTTAGTTTCAAAAATCCGTACATTAGATAGTTCCACGTGCGAGTGCGGAATCGAAAAGGTACCACTGATCCCATCTTCTTCGACTGTCTGAAACAACCTTTTTTATATGAGCAACTTCCATCTAAAACCCCCCGTCCCATTAACCTAAATACTATCTTGTCTATTTCTAACAAACCTATCTTTTTGCGTCTTGTAAGCATATTAAAAAATATAACAATACACAATAATCTACATGACATTATCATATATTTATTGCGATATTTTTTATTTGATTTATTAGTACAATATGTGACGTTTGCTTTGTGTTGTACTTTTAGAACAAGGGAGTAAGAAAACTATGAAAAACAGTTACTGAACTATTTCTCACTATCCCGCAAAATTTCTGTGTAAAACGGAAAAATGTCATTTGTGTATATAAAAAAAGTTACTTTATGCTCGTTGGGCTCTTCGTGAAACTCCCGCGTGATTTTTTATGACACTTTTCTTATTCCATTACTTTTACGGAAAGGGGTAGAATCCACCTATCCCATATTAGAAAAGATCGCATTAAACTATTTATGTTGCACAGCGACTTCCACGGCTTCAGAGGGGCTTTTTTCTAAAGCTGGTCAATTCCTTTATCAGCAACGCAATCGAATAAAGGGGAAATTGTTAACCTAGCTACTTTTTCTGCAAATTGTACAGAAAAAATATTAGATTTAACGGTTTCATTTATTCTTCTTTTTAAATTTGTAACAATAAATACTTGTTTGTAAAAAACACATGCAGTTTTATTTTTTTCTATGAAAAACATCGATGTTTGGGTGAATCGTAAATCGATGCCTTCGAATCGATGTTGATTTCAATGTCAATATCGATGTTTTTCCAATATCGATCATCCCTAAGTGAGAGTAGGCAGAAGGGATGTATCTGAAACCGATTTAAACGTAGCTTCTGAATGCGATTGGACGAAAGAACAATCGAATGATTTCTTTCAATGAGGAAGTATTTAAAAAATAAAAATTAGTTCTTAAAATCATACTAAATGTCACTCGCGATGTTTGGATTTTGTTTACAATATTCATTCAAATTTTGTTTCTGACGTAATGAAAGTATATTGAGTATCGAAAATTAATAAATATTATATCGTTTTGTGTTTCTTATAATTTCTAACATTCAAATTATTTTAATCGTAAATTTAAGTTGTTTATTATGAACGATGTTTGGTTGTTACGTCATGTTACGTCAACATTAGTGATGAGCCAACTTATTGGTTGCTAGTACTTTCATCCGAATTCAGGTTTGGAATGAAGAACAAAAAGCGGAGTGCAGAATTCAGCTTGTATTTGTATGTGTCATTATGCATCCACAAAATGAATGATATTAATATAAATATCAAAATCAATTCTGTCTATACTCCATTCATTATAGCATTAGACAGAAGTTAAATAAGGTTATTTTTATGGTGTCCTTTGTGACAAACTATTAACAATCATGTTACTCTTAAGACTGACGGCTTATTTGCTACATATCTACTTAAATACCAGCTGCTATACTTAACAGTCGTCGTTTAAGCCATCTGTTAAACAAAATTATAAGTATTTGACTAACTTAAAAGATTTAATAACTCTTACAATAAAAAGTGTTCATCTTAAAGAACCTAGAGAAGCAGGGTTGGATAGTTTCGGCACGATTCTCATGTCACTATAACTCTACCAAATTTAAAACGTTGCCTTATCCCTTCAAACGTTTCGGTAGTACAGCTTTTTAATTTTGTCAGATTATGATGTATTCATAATAGGTAAAATATGTAATCTGGGAATCTCATTAACTGTGAATGTTATTGCCTTTCTTGTTGTTTTACCGTAGGTATTCCGTGATTGAGTTGTTATTGTATTATTTTTGTTTTCTTATAGTTTTGTTTTAGTTGTTATCTTTTTGTAGTTAAGTTTTGCTAAATATGGACGATTCCGGTGCAGGTCCGAATGGCCTACAATAATTACCTCTTACATTTCAAGAACTTTTTCCAATATTTTAATCAAAAATTTAATAATATCTGAATAAATGTTATAAAAGTAATAATAAAAATATAATTTTGTTTACCTTTCTTTCCTGGGCATAAATATGTATTTAAATTCTATTCTAATTATATATTTATAATTAGAATTTTATCAAAACGACAGATACATAGTAATAGTTCCATATTGGCTTGGGAGTAAAAGATGAATTTAGAAAATTCTAGCTTCATCGCAAAATAAAATGGAAAATTGCCCAACTCTTTCAAACATTACCTAATGATCAAAGTGTCAACAAAACTAATATATATATTTTTAAAATTTATCTTGAAATTAAAATGTTCTGCACTGCTGCTTCTGTGACCCTCTTTTTTCTAATTTTATAATGAATGGAGTATAGGCTGTTACATAGTACTTTTGCAAGTCGAAAACTTTGCCAATGGTTCACAAAACTAAGGCGCTCCCGCCTTGCCGATCTTGTACTGACAAGAATTAGCAAGAAACTTGGCAAGGGCTGCTTTTTTAATTTCAATTAAACAATTCAACTAAGTATACTATATTTGAGGGAACGTAACGACCTCACGCACACGACACCACCGCAGAGATTTTAAGAGACCATGACTACTCTAGGTACTTAGTAAATAATATATTTCAATAAAACTGATTGCTAGAGTAGATTGTGTAGGAAGTCAATCTATTATTAACAATAGTATTGTAAGAACCAAAAAGCAAAACCTTATTCATTAATTCACCATACATAATATTAAAATATTATTGAGACTTGATGTAGTTTTGTTGTTGTAAGTTCAAAAAATAACTTATTGCAATAAAACTAACTTACCTAGTTCTCATTGTTTTCAGCACTTTAGTTAAATATTATAATAGAAAAATTCCTAGACCTACTATAGCATAAGTATTTTATTTATTAAAACTATTTGGCGGTAATATTATTGTATACCGTAACTAAATGCCACTTTTAATCATATCACAGCATTAATTCATTTGATTTCCATTTATTGAAAAAAAAAAACCTGTGTTCAAATAAAAAATAAATTTATTCAAAGATGACTTTGTATTAATCGAGTTGCGTTTGCATAACTCGAACTAATTCAATTTCAACTCGATATTAATCCGACTTATCAGATCCATAACAACACTGACAATTCTATTATCTTTGGTTTAAATATGCCATGGCTGTATGGATGAAAGTCCTTTGCCTACCCTGAAATGGGTGAGAATAATAACAATAAAAAAAAAGTCTTTGGTTTAATGTCATGAATTGACGTTTAGATCCAACAATTGGTGCCGCCATCTAGTGACATAAATTTTTGTAGTTTCTTAATTTTATAAATACTTCCTCATTGTCCTTAGACGTGGATATAAGGATGTTGACTAATTTTTTTTTGATTGTCTGTCAGGTAGATTCTTGAAGAATAACAAATATTTTTGGCGTAATCATTAAATAACGATGAGTAGGTACATTGAGTTTCAATATCAATGAATAAAAATATCATGACGTCATACCGTTATATATTCTCATAGGTACATAGTTGGTTAAAACTGTACAATATTCACCAAAACACCCCCCACCCGACGGAAATGTATAGTTGCATAAATGTTCATGATTGAAGTTTGACTTTTTATTTGGTCTGAGATACGAGTGTAAAAATACTCATAGGTAGTATGAAATTTTGTGTAATATATGGATTGAAAACTACTGTCTATTCTGTGCATAGATGTTAGTACATGTAAATGTAAATGTTAGTACATGTAAATGCACTAACATCTATGCACAGAATAGACAGTAGTTTTCAATCCATATATTACACAAAATTTCATACTACCTATGAGCATTTTTACTCTTAGATTTTTTTACATTAAAAAAATTTAAGAGTAATTAGAAACAAAACTATTAAGTTCTAACGTAACCTTGTTTC